ATACATACGGTCGGGCCACTGTGGCCGATTCAGCTCTCTATCTACACGCTACAGACACACATACAAACATAGAGCCATAGATACAAACACACATAGACACACACATACATACATACATTCATCCTTGGAGACGCAGCAAGATCAGGCGAAGGCACATAGATACAACATGATACGAGCTCGGCCACGCTTCTTCCAGCTTGTTTTCCGTGGGGGAGGCGCTGCGCCCTCCCCCTGCACCCCCTCCCGCTTTTTTATGTCAGATCATGCATGCATGTGGCCCACAGACATACACACACACACATACATACATACATACATACAAACATACATACATGCATGCATACATCCTTGGACACGCAGCAAGATCAGGCGAAGACACATAGATACAAGATGATACGCGCTCGGCCACGCTTCTTCCAGCTTGTTTGCCCCGGGGGAGGCGCTGCGCCCTCCCCCTGCACCCCCTCCCGCTTTTTTATGGCATATCATGCATGCATGTGGCCCACAGACATACACATACATACATACATACATACATCCGTGCACACGCAGCAAGATCAGGCGAAGACACATAGATAAAAGATGATACGCGCTCGGCCGCGCTTCTTCCAGCTTGTTTGCCGCGGGGGAGGCGCTGCGCTTGCTTATGGCATATCATGCATGCATGTGGCCCACAGACATACACATACATACATACATACATACAGTCATGGCTCAAGTGGTCCAAGCAGGCACGCCCCACATAAAGCCCTGCTCGTGCGGCAACCCCCAAGCACCACGTGTGCAACACGAATACCAACACAGTAGCCGCCTTAGAGTTCCACCTGGGTGAGCGTCCATTGCCCGCAATCCTCGAGATCTCCATCCTCGCTTTTGCGGACCCCTACGGCAACTGGCAGAGCTCGCCTTCGACAACCTCATAGGCATCCTGCTCAGGCTCATCTTCTCACCATCCGCCTTGGGGACATCTTGACCTACCTGATCACTTTGCCCGTGATCCCTACATCCTAAAGAACCTTCCAGGCCAGATCGTGTTCGGTGCCACAATCATGCAGTGGGGACGCAACTACATGACCTGCAGGCACTCAGAGTGTAGAAACTGGATCTGGGAGGACAAACTACGCCCTGGCACCCGCTGCAGGAAATGCGGCACATGGTGGCAGCAACCTGCTACTTCAGGCAAAGGAAAAGGACAAGGCCATGGACACTCTCGAGCACCGAACAAGGCTCAGCCCTGGCCTCGAAAGCAAGTCGCTCCTCAGACACTGGACACTCCTCCAGGACTACCACGGCTACGTCCTCTCAAGCACAGTAAAGAGCAGGCCTCAGCTGTTGAACTCATTGCCAGTACATGGAGCGTCATCCCAGAGGCCATCCAGGCCAAGCTTGCAGCCCTAGGCTATGGCCCACCTCCTCCAGAAGAACCTGAGCTCACAGAGCTTCTTAAGAGCCACATGACTGCTCTCCCTCAAGAGGTGCAGGCCGTAGTCACGAAACTGACTCAGCCCATGCCCGACACAGAAAAAGAGCTGGCCAACAAGCTGAAGGCACAAGTAGGAGAATTGAAGACGGCATCAATCAAGAAAAACCGACTCCAGTCTCGTTTGGACCAGATCAAGTCACAGTATGCTGCTATGCTTCAGGACATGCAGGACCTGCAAACGAAGTTGACTGATGGCCAAACCAAACTCAAGCAGTTGTCCGACCAGTACATGAAGGTCACCCAAACTCCCATGCCTGAAGGACTCGAGGGGGAGAACACCAAGGACTTACCCATTCCTATGGCAGTTGAAACCTTTGTCACCAGCTTGGGAATCGACCTGACAGAAGATCAGCGGACACAACTCCATGGACTCCTCAAACGACCACAGACTGATGATGAGGACATCAACAAGCGCCGCAAGACTGACTCCACACCCACCCTACCAGGGACACAGTGTGGGTAACAGTCCCCATCTCGAACATCACCTCCCAGCGTTTCAGGTGCCAATTCCCTGCGAAGATTTCGAGGCATCACACCAATCACCGGTTTGCCGTGCTGCATCCGGCTCAATCCAGTCAGGGATTTCCTTCCAAGGTGCAGGGGACAAGTCACCTTTTGACAGGAAGGAACAAATTTTGCAAACAGAGGGACAGACAACATTTGGTGCAGGGGATACCACCAACATGTTGCGAACACAAGCATCCCACATGCAGATGCACAGTTTTGATAGTACCACCGCACCGGCCACACCTGTGGATGGACTCTCCAGCGGGGCACCTGGAGACCACATCATTGCCATCAAGGGTGGAGCCAACCACATCCAGAACAAGTACGCCACGACAGGAAGACAACCCAGGATGCAAAACACATATGCATCCAAAACAGAGTGCATACTCCAAAACCTGTCAATGGCCATCGGAAATCCCAGCTCTCGGT